GAAAATAGAATTAAAAAAATGTGTTTCTGGAGTAAGTCACACATTGTCATAGTTCTTATTTCTTTTCTTTTCTTTCTTTTTTTTTTTTTTTTTTTGCGGAACTGGGGATTGAACTCAGATCCTTGCACTTGCCAGGCAAGCACTTATTCTACTGAGCCATCTCCCTGGCCCTGGTTCTTATTTCAGAAGGGTGAGCGGTCTCTCTCCACTTTTGGTCCCAGACCAGACTCCTCTCCGCTCCTCTAGGTCAGCGGTCAGCAGTGCTATCAGTGTGCTGAGTGACCTTTCAAGGTTATTTTATATGAGCTAATAATACAGCTCTGTCAGTCTGTTCCTCTCTGTCTCTGACACACACACACACACACACACACACACACACACACACACACACACACTGTTTTGCTATTGCTTCTCGGTAGAATTTCATCTTGGCAGTTCTGGCAGGTGCTGCTTTCACCTGTTAGTTATGGAAGGCGCTCCCTTGCAGGCTATGAGGAGCTGCCCTGTGGTTTCCTCTGCTGCAGGGCCGTTGGGCCAGTGGACCATCACGTACCTAACAGCAGTCCCCTTTGGATGGATGGTTAGATCAACACCAGTAGTTTTTACAGGAGCCGTGCTGCCAAAAGTCGTTCACTGTGCCAGGGTTTCTCTGCAGGATGTGTTCTTAGGGGTGGAGCTGGGGGCAGAGGGCTGCTCCGTAGTCACAATTTCCCAAGTGCTTCCCAGTAGTCTTGTGGTGTACCCACATACTCTCCCAGCAGCCATTGGGAGGGCCTCTTTTCCCACAGTCTCACTTACACTGGGCATGATGTGACATTCTTGTTTTGTTTTCTAATCTGATAGTGACAAGTGGCCTCCCAGTATAGTTTTAAATTTGCCCTTAGGACCCACCTCCATGCTACCCTCCTCCTGTGCTCTCCCCCAGGGACCTGCTGCAGCTGGGAGGGGAGATGGCCCGGACATCGCGGGCTGTGCAGGAGGCCAGCCTGGGGCTGAGTGCTGGCCTGCAGCTGGCTGAGAGCCGGGCGGAGGCAGCACTAGAAAAGCAGACACTGCTGCAAACACAGCTGGAAGAACAGCTACGGGACCAGGTGCTGCGCGAGAAGGACCTGACCCAGCAGCAGGCACAGAATGACCTGGACAAAGCCAACCTCAGCACCCGGTGGGTAGTATGGGCACCATTCAAGGCCTGCTTCCCTTTCTCAGGGTGCCCAGAGCCTTAGGGGAGGGTTCTGCTTGCCAGAGCTGGGCCCTGCCTGGGAGTTCAACCTCTGGTGACAGTGTGTGCCCGAGATACCACTGGGGGTAACCGCACTGCCATCTTACGGCTGAGAAGTTGGATACCCAGAGAGAAGGGACTTGGCCAAAGCACTCAGCTGGGGAAGTGAATCCTAGGTCCAGGCTTAGATTTGGGGAAATGTGAGGGACACAGAAGTTGGCAGATTTGCAAAGCTAGGCCAGGTCCCCACTCACCCCTGTTGCTCCCTACCTGCAGAGTGACAGAGCTGGCTCTGGCAGTGGAGCGTCTCCAGAGCCAGAACCTGGAGAAGGATCGGGTCAACAAGGCCCTGTCCGAGAAGCTGGAGGCCCTGGTGAGACATGGCTGCTGGGGATGTAGAGGGCTAGGGTCAGGGACCCTCGGGCACAGACTTAGGGCTGGGCTGCTTGGGTCACCCTGTGCGTTCCCCTCAGATTCAGTGTCACCATTCAGCGTGCATAGGATTAATGTGAGGATGTTCACTGCCTTTATCACCTTGCTTCCAGCGGCCCTATGGCCTGATTCCCAGGACGCACAAGGGAAGCAAGGCCCAAGTGTCCCCGAGACATGGGGAGACAGGAACACAGCTGTGCCCCAGAGGAACACAGTTGTTTGCCCACTGAGGTCACTACGGGGTTGGTCACTTTCTGTCCAGTGGTCCATGTTATGGGACAGGATGTGGGCCTCTCTAGGCCTCTTCTGTTCAGTGAAGGCAGTGGACTGCTGTGGGCATGGCCAGAGTGGTTATCTTTCTGGTGGCAGGTCAGGGAGGGACAAGGCAGGAGCCCAGGGGCGGGCACAGTCTTGGAACACCTTTTCTATGTCTCACTCCAGGAGTCTCTGAGGCTACAGGAGCAGGTGGCCGTGGAGACAGATGATGGAGAGGGGCTGCAGCAGACCCTGAGGGACCTGGCACAGGTACCCAGGCAGCCCCAGGGTGACGTGCAAGTGGGCAGGGAGCCTGGGCATCTGGTGGGGCAGTTAAGGCCCAGATGGCTTCCAGGGCCTCAGAGGGGAGGCTGGTGGAGGCGGTGGCCCTGGGTGGCTCTTGGTAAAGGAGCTTTGGTGAAGCGGCCTCTGCCCCACTAAGTGCCCCCTGTGGCCTCCCCACCTCCCTCAGGCGGTCCTGTCGGACCCGGAGAGCGGCGTCCAACTCAGCGGCTCTGAGCGCACGGCCGACGCCTCCGATGGCAGCCTGCGGGGCCTCTCCGGCCCGCGGACCCCGTCCCCGCCGCGCCGCTCCTCGCCAGGCCGCGGCCGTTCTCCCCGCCGAGGCCCATCTCCCGCCTGCTCGGACTCCTCCACGCTCGCCCTCATCCACTCCGCCCTGCACAAGCGCCAGCTACAGGTCCAGGTGGGCCGCGACCTGAGCCCGCCGGGCTGGAAGCTGGGGTCTTGGGGGCGGAGCCAGGACGTGGGGCGGGACTTAGTCTTGGGGGCGGGACTTTGTGTTGGGGGCGGAGCCAGGCCCCGGGACTTGGCGGCTGGAGGAGGCCAGACCGAGAAGTTGGCTGAGAGCTCTGGCTCTGCATCTGAGCGCAGAGCTGGAGGTGTTTGGGCAGCTGGGGATTGGAGCTGGGGTTGTGGTAGGAAAGGAGGTGAGCTCCGGGTTATACACAGCCAGGACCGCGTGCAAAGGGCCGGGAGGGGAAAAGAGAGCCCCGGATGGGGGACAGGGGAACTAGGAGCAGAGTGGGGGGCGGAGTTGAGTCTGGAACCAGGATGCGAGGGGAGGAGCCTGGCGCCTTGGGGGCGGGGTCAGAACTCAGGGGCGTGTGTGCGTGCGGGACTCTGGGGAGGTGAGGGGTCAAAAAGGTGGGGAGGTCGGAGAAGGCGAGTGGAATCCATTCCCGACCCGGGCCTTGCCGGGTCCAGCCGCGGTGTAGATGTACTCACCTGGAACCACCGGGAAACAAGTGGGCTCCCCGGACTCAGTGACCCCCATGCTCCAGGACATGCGCGGGCGCTACGAGGCGAGCCAGGACCTGCTGGGCACCCTGCGGAAGCAGCTTGGCGACTGCGAGGGTGAGCGGCGCGCCCTGGAGGAGCAGCTCCAGCGCCTGCGGGACAAGGCGGAGGAAGCCGCCCGGGCCCACGAGGACTCCCAGCGCGAGGCCCAGCGTCTTCGCAGCGCCAATGACCTCCTGAGCAGGTGCCTGGGAGGGCAGGCGTGGGGACGATGCGGCAGGGTCTGCGCCCTAGGCCAGCCTAAAATAAGTCACCACTGGCCACACATGTCTACTAAAATTTCAATTACTTAAAATTTAAAAAGCTGTTCCTTCGTGACATTGGCCACGTGCCAAATGTCCCAAAGTCATTTGCTTGCTACAGAACAAGCTCCATTGTCTTGGAATTCTTGTTGACAGCGCTGTTTCTACACCATGTTTCTAGAAAAGTTGTTTTTAAAAAAATTTTTTTTGCAGCTCTTTGGATTGAAGTTAGGAGCTCTTCTACTATTGAGCTCTATGCCTGTTATTATTATTACTGAGACTGGGGATTGAACCAGAGCCTTTGCACTGAGCTACACCCCCAACCCTTTTATTTTTTTTATTTTGAGACAGAGTGTCATTAAGTCACTATATTGCCCAGGCTGAGCTGTGGTCCTCCTGCCTCAGCCTCCCAGAGTGCTGGCGTTAGAGGTATACACCAGCAATCCTGGCTTTTTGGAGATTTTTAAGACATTAAATTGTCCACTGCTATATAAGCTACTGGGGTTTTAAAATTTTATTGCCCATTTTTACCCTCTCTTCATAAATAGAAGAAATTGTGAAAAATGGAGGAGAAAGCAAAAGGCTGGACCCCCTCAGAGCCTTACTTTCCTAACCTGTTTGCGTGCTTGTTTTGCTTCCCATTGCGTTGTCTGGCACCAACATAGCACAGTAGGGGTGCAGATGGCACCTACTGTGTGGCAGACTGTTTGCTGGGTGTTTGGCTGTGTTTCTTCTGGTGTCTTTCTGTCTGACTCCTGCAGTTTGGAACTGGTAGTGTAGTATGCTTGAGAGGCTTGCGCTGGCTCACACACTGGCTGTGGCTACAGGGCCCAGGGTGGGAATTGGAATTAAGGTCCATTTGACACTAAAGCCACGGTATCCATGCCAATGAAGGAGTTGTTTTGTTTTGTGGATTTTTTTTTTTAATTTAAATGTATTTGGTACAGGATCTCACTATGAAGCTTGGACTTGTAGTGATTCTCCTGTTTTCAGCCTCCCCAGTGCTGGGATTACAGGTGTGCGTTACCGCGCCCAGTATCCTGGCCTGCTCAGTGTGCCCAGGGGTGGGGCCTGCCTAGCATGTGGTGCCGGGGATCAAACTCCAGTCCCTGCGCTTGCCTAAGCAGGCACTTAGTCAGCTGAGCTATCTCACCGGCCCTGTTTTGTAGTTTTGAGATAGAGTTCTGCTGTGTAGGACTATGAAACTGTTTTCTTAAATTGGGGGTCGCACTGCTGTTCAGGCTGGCCTTGAGCTCACTGTCCCGCTGTGCAGCCCAGGATGGCCTCCAGTTCATAGTGATCTTTCTATGGGGGCCTTGCCAGATAGCTCAGGCAAGCTGTCCTGTTTAAAGAATAGCTTGGGCAAATACAATCAGGCCCACAGAACCACGGTTCGATTCCCAGCTCCAGAAGCTGTACCAGACCCACCCTTATGGCAGCCTGAAGTAGCCAAAAAGAAAAAAAAAAAAATCCTTTACAGTGCTCCTTCTGCCTCGGCCTCCAAAGTGTTGCAACTATAGTGTTTGCTCCTGCATCTAGCAAGATAGGCTTTTTTTTTGGTAGTGGGACTGAACCCAAGGATTTCACACTAAGCTACATCCCACCCCCTTTTCTCTTTTTCCAAGCCAACCCCCCTCCCCTTTTTTTTTTGTGAAACTGGGGATTGAACTCAGACCCTTGCGCTTGCCAGGCAAGCACTTATTCTACTGAGCCATCTCTCTGGCCCCTTGTTTGTTGTTTTGAGATATGGTCTTGCTATATGGTTTAGGCTGGCCTTGGCTCACTGTATAACACAGACTGGCCTTGAACTCACAGCTATCCTCCTGCCTGAGCCTCCCAAGTGCTGGGATTTCAGGCATGGGCCACCACAGACAGCTAAATTTTTAAAAAAATTTGAGACAGGGCCTCGCTAAATTGGTAAGTTGCGCAGACTGGACACACTGGGGTCAGGGTGCAGTTGAACCTACACTCCTCCTGCCTCAGCCTCCTCAGTGGTGGAACTGTAGGTGTGCACCAGGAGGCCTGACAAGATGGGCTTATGTGTGCGTGTTGAGGGGTGTTTACTGGGAATCGAACTCAGGACTTCATGCTTGCCGGACCGATGCTGTACCACTGAACTAAATCCCTGGCCTTCAGCTAAATCCCTGGCCCCTAACTATTTAAAAATAGTTGAGTTCAGGGATGGGAAGATAGCTTGGCTGTCTAAGTGCCTGCTTGGCAAGCACGAGGACCTGGGTTCGATCCCTAGTACTGCATGCTGTGCTGGCCCTGAATCCAGTTGTGGTGGTGCAAACCTGTAATCCCAGCGCGGGAGTAGGCTGATATGGGAGGATCACTAGAGTCTGAACTGCATAGCGAGACCCTGCACCAAATAAACAAAGAAGTGGCCTGCAGG